AGGAGGAGGAGGAGGAGGAGGAGGAGGAGGAGGAGGTGGTGGCGGAGGTGGTGCAGCAACAACACATATGGAGGGAGTCACAGCAGAAGATGCTTGGAGATCTGAATCTTCCTGAGCATCCGGTGGCGAAGGGGGAGACGAGTCTTGAGAGGAACAGTTGGGAAGAGATGCAGATTTTAAAATCAGCACTCCCTCCATCTGTGAGGAGGAGGAGGAGGAGGAGGAGGAGGAGGAGGTGGTGGCGGAGGTGGTGCAGCAACAACACATATGGAGGGAGTCACAGCAGAAGATGCTTGGAGATCTGAATCTTCCTGAGCATCCGGTGGCGAAGGGGGAGACGAGTCTTGAGAGGAACAGTTGGGAAGAGATGCAGATTTTAAAATCAGCACTCCCTCCATCTGTATCTGTCAAATCCCAAAGATGATTGGATGAAAGTATCCCACTGCTGGCCGCTCAGATCTGAGGAGACACAGAAGTATATAGCAGTGTAAATGTGTAAACTATGTGTACACGCACTGGTAGCATCTTATAAAGTCATCAGGAACAATCTGCTCCAAATGTAATGTTTTTTCATTGTTTCATAGGTACATATGAATATTTTCTAGGTAAGCAGATGCCACAGTTTTCTAAATATCAACATCACACGTAACAAAAATACCATAAAAGTGATATTAAATACAGCAAGTTAAACATTTAAAGAAGAATTAACTTGTAAGGTAGACACTATAGTTTGTGCCACTACTTCTTTACTCAAAGAAAGACATATCGTTGTTGTTTAACCTTCTACTTTTCCTCTTTGAAAAACACAGTAGCCTAACATTTACTCCATAAATACAACACCCTTCTTGAAGTATTGATCTTCAGTTCATCATACGAAACGCCATTGAGGAAATGTCACAAATTAATGCTCCCGTCTAAACAGCAAATGAAAATGCTTCACATAACTCAATTTATACCTTATATTACTCATTAGAGCCTAGTGGTAAATTCGGCATGGATGGCATCCACCAAGAAACATAATCACACATTAAACGTTACTCTCTAATTTGCTTCTACACAGTTTGCTGCCGTTTATTTTCGTGGAGGGGGAAGCTGGAGAATAAACAGGCAAACCAACTGCAATTAAATGTGATTACATTGAAACACATTCTATTCGGTGGGATATTCATATGCGGAATATTAAAGTTGACACAAAAAAATCCGAAAATATACTCAAAGTTGTTCAAACATGTCTGTCCTTTTTCCGACAAACAAAGCATCATTGATTTGACGTTTTTCTGTTGAAGTTTTGCTGTCAGTTACATTCACATCCTCGTTCGTGTTCCTCCTTAACAAATCATCCAGCAAACAAAATAAAGGGTCGTAATAGAGTCTGGACTGTCACAACAGCAACGTAACGGACTTATTTTACTCACCGTGCTTTTAAAATACAGCTGTCAAATAAATCCTCACTCCGATCTCTCGCCTCGTGCTTCTGCAGACTGCCTCAGTCAGTGTCTCACAAACAGCATCACAGGTGCAGGGCGCGTCTCCGCCAATCAAATTCAAGTCTGTGGTACCTGGATGGAAACGCCTTTTTATCGTGAGGTAAGAAAAAAAAAACATTGGTATTTCTGTTAATGTAAAAAATTACAAACAGGCAGGTTTAACGGAGTATAGTATTATATGAGTATGTGCGAATACAAAAACTACCATGTCCTTTATTGCTATAGATAAAGATAAAGGCAGAAGGAGCTATCATATATTCACAGATGTATACATTTAAAAATTCAATTCAATGTTCAATTCAATTTTAACAGCAACAGGAACATATGGACAGCAGTAAACACTGTTGATTGGTAATTGTAAATGTGAAAACAGTTATACCCATAGGTAATAGTGTTATCTGTATGTGCTGTTTATCGTTAATGGTTATAGTGGGAACAATCATACCAATACCAATAGGTACTAGTGTTACCAATAGTACAATAATAGTAATGAATAATAATAATAATAATAATGAACACAACAGCACCCTGAAGAAACCCCCCCCCCCCCCCCCCCCCGATAAAAATGTGGTGCAAATGTGTGGATTTTTTTTTTGTGTGGTTTCATCAGACAGCATATTAAGAAATGTTAATAGCGTTGGAGGGGGGGGGGGACTTCTGTCCAGCCTGTCACAATAATCAAACAGGAAGTTTTAATTTATGGGAGAAGTTAGATAAATGAGGTTGATCAAGAATAGGTCTTAAATGGCAGTGGATGACTAATCACAACATTATAAAGTTTTATTTGACTGAATCCAGGTGGCTGCCGCTGCTCTACTCCACGTGCAACAGAAAGTTCACCAGTGGAAAACAAATGAGTTGAAAGACACAAACAGGAAATACAGCCAGACCATTTGAAAATGTGTATTTTTAATTTTTGTTCCATTGGGGTGGGGCAGGGTGGGACTTTTCAGGTCTGAGCGAGGAATGAAGGCAGAGTATCACATCAATCCATGACACGACTTCATTGATCATCTTAAATACCATTATGTGCAATCATTCATACAGTACAATACACCAGCTCAACCTAGAAAATATCGATTGTACACAAATAAAATATCTCATTTTATAAATCTTCATTTTGGTGTAAGGGGGGAGGAATTTCAAAGGGGCAGGTTTGGAAAAGAGGAGTCACATTTTTTGTTAATATTGCTGTGTGGCGGTCAAACAGACCAGGAGCTGGCCAGCGAAACTGCAGTTTTTGCTGTAAGTGAGGCCAAGGTCTTCCTACAGCTGGAATAAAATACACCCAGTTGACACACTGACACATAAGAATTCAGAAAAAAAAAAAAAATCTTAAGAATCCGTTTTTGATATTTGCTTCTCATCAAAAATCAAATCCACTTCCTTTCACGACTGTCCTCACGAGTGCAGCATTAAAAAGTGAACCCTGAAGCACGGCGTTAGGCCAGTCCATGCGAGCTGGCACGCAGATGGCCAAGAGTAGAGCATCGGTACACTCACAGATATCTGCTCCTATACTTTGGATCGCTGTCTGCCATGCAAATAGAGAGGAGACGAGAAGCTGGAGGCCTGACACATTAACTGATGGAGGTTTCACAGAGCACTCCGTTCTGTTTCTAGGATTAAATGCAGCATGGTAAAACATTCATTATACTGGATTATCTTCATTTGACTTCACAGCCGGTTCTTCCTATCAGTTAGTGTAGAATATCTTTTCTTCTTCTGGAGTATATCAATTACAGATTTAGTTGGCCTGAGGCATATTGTCATGTTAGTGTGTCACCTGTAAAATGCCTTAAATGTCATACTCATAAAAATGAGTGATTTGCACAAACCAGAAATTCCAGTGTACAACATGTTGATTCCAACAGATTAACACATACAATGTACATAATAAATACAGTGATGCATAAAAATTCAACATTACATTTGTAGTACCATGTGGCAATACCCTCTCTTAATTGTCAACCATTCATGATTGTTTACTAACATTACACTAAGACAATGTTTCAGTTACAGGAGATAAAAAAAAAAAAAAATTTGTTTTCCAAATCACCAACGACAAAATCATGTTGAAATATTACAATTAGTAATATTAGACGGCTACACTAATCTTCACGGTGAAGAAAAGTAACCATAGACAAATATATTCTGCTTCAGGAGGACTGGAAGATATGACCCTAGACATTGCAGAGACAAACAAAGTTTATAAAAAAAAAAAAAAAACACATTTCAATGTATCATGTATCAATGTGAATTCCTTGTAAATACAGCCCGTTAGACAATGTAATAATGGAGTGAATCCATTCAAGTTTGTTGGATCTTAACAGACTGTAATAGGTCAGCTGTCCCTCAAAGCTTCCTCAGTCCAGACTGAGCCAATCGGCGTTGCTTAAATAACCCATGAAAACGTAGCAGGGTTTCATCATCCAATCATCATCCAATCATCATCCATCTCTTTCAATTCTCTTTGGGTAAATAAAACAAGTAAATCAGGTAACAATTCAAATCTGTAGCATTTCTCATAACCTCAGACTAAACACCAGCACACGTTGCCCTAACACTATACTGTCTTTCACTCCGAGGCATGAGACATACAGCTGAGTAGAACTGATATAGTTAGAAAAAAACAAAAACAAAGACATGAAGGTCAAATTAACCAAACACTAAACTAAACACAGCATTGTCTTTTTTTTTATATTTAAGCTACAAACAATTGTATAATATTTCATTTCAAAAGTGAAACAGTACTTAATTTGAAATGTACATTGATTGGAAATGTCTGCACATTCCTTTCCAGTGTAGCAAACAAATCCCCTTCATGTGTAGTTTGACTTCTTTTTTCTGTACTTACATTAGATCATACATAAGGAGGCACACGAGGAGAGTGATAAGGTTTGGAGGAGTTTTGATGTAGTGTTTGGTTACATCTGAATGTATTTTAATGGGTTTTTACTATTTTTCCTTTACTCATCTGTCTCTGTTGCTAAGATGGTGTGGGACTGAAGTTTAACTCAGATCACTGGGAGCACTTGAGGAGTACGATAATGGCCATAAGAATGACTAACACAAGCGCACACAGCAAAGTAGTGTTGAGATAGAAGGGGGTTTAAGGTGAACTGGGGAGAGGGAAGGGGCAGATGAACAGTTTCTCTGGGAACAAAGCACAAGGAGAGGGTTCGAGTGGAAAAAAGAGGAAGTTGGAGAAAGAGGCACTAATAGCCCCCTGGCTGTTCATGAAACTGGCCACATCGTTTCTTGCTGCATTCATCAATAATACCCTGCAATCCATCTGTCCGATCTTCCTTCATCTGTCCAATCATCCAGCCACACGCTCATCTCATTTCTTCATCCACCCAATTATCTGTATGTGTTTTCCCTCTGTAGTGGTCCTCTGTAAGTTGGGGGTTTCAACAGGTAACAGGTGGAGGTGGTCAAGAAGGAGGCTGCAGGAGATCCAGCAGGCCCTCTCATTGCTCCTCTAACCAGGAGGGCTTGTCGGCCCCTGGAGGCCTCAACTTTATGTTGAACTGCTTCAGCGTTTGCTCCAGCTGCTGCTGGTTGCCAGCAAAGTATGCTGAGATGGCATTATGAAAGAGCAGGAGCTGCTTATGCATCACCTTCACCTGAGAGACAGAGACAAGGGAGTTTAGGAATTTGGTTAGTGTGCAATTTATCACAAAGAAAAACACTTTGAGTCAGCGTGGAGGTAAACACTTTTTTGATGATGCAGATCTGTCCTGCAAACCAACCTTATTCTCCTCCAGGAACTTGAGTTTAATGATGACGTCTGAGCGGAGACGTTCATACTTCTCCTTATGCACTTGGTATTGCTGCTGAGCAGCATCTATACGGGCCATGGCAACAGCGTCCCTTGGACCCAGACTCAGTTCCTCCAGGTCTGACCGGTAGGCATCAAACTCCAGTCTGTTCAGAAAAGCAGAGAAGAAAACACAGAGTTTTAAGAAAAAGAGGAACACTTCAAAGATCCAGACCAATTTTCAGTGTCATCATAAAGAAACCTTGAACCCTATCTGTCTGCTCCTTGTATTTATAAATGTAATTCTTGGTCCAGTTTGGATGATTTATTCTCATTAATCCTGTTGGAAAAAACAACTTTAAAATCATTTTTAAATCTGACCACTTGAGGGAGGCAGAAACAGGTTGTGAACACAACATTATCACCTTTTGAGGTTGATATGGGGAACTTGTTAACAATGACTTATTTACAGATCCAGCAGTTAAGGAGCACTTAATTTGGAGTTTGTTTCTGGCCACATAGTGTCCAATATTCACTCTTTTAACTAACTTTAAAAACATCTGGCTCTTTAGCTGCTACATGTTCTACTCTGTTCATCAGCTCGTCTCTACCTGTGTCTGTCTGATGTTTGGTGCTGAACAGGAAGTGCACAGTGTGTTTTTACAGCTTTTTCACAGCGAGTGAAGCAAAAATAGTAAAGTGGATCAGACCGCTACACATCGAGCTGAATCTCACTATAAAACTGCAGATTCACGTGATAATTCTCTGTGGCCTCATCACTTTGAACAACTCCTTCCCCACTGTCACACTGTTTTCACGTTGTCATTTGATACAGGACAACATCCGTATTTCTGTGCTCACGTTTTGTCTAAATCTCTTTGCTGATCCTCCTCTGAAAACAGTTTCCATCCAGTCTCTTGGGTGATATGAATAATGTCCTTACCTGGCATTTTCATACATCTTGATCGTCATCAAGGTGTCCTCCATGGTCTTGTTGACTAGTGTGTTGATGCTGGACACAAAGAAGTTAATGGCACCAAGTAGAGTCTCCCCGTTCTTACACAGCAACTTCTGAGTCTCTGCATTGTAGCCAAACTCATCCTGTATAGAAAAACAAGGCATTAACACACACTATACAGAACACAAATGGTATTAAAGCCTCTAAGCGTTAAGACAGGTGACATAAAATCTACATAAATACACTTTGAGGCCTCACCCTAAGCTCTGGAGATTTCTGACTGAGGTCAGCAAAGGTGTCACCGAGCGCATGCTGCGTCTGCACCATGTTGTAGAAGTGGTTGGTCAGTGCTCTGGCCAGTCGCAGGACGTTCTCGTATTTCCTCTTAGTGTCTCTCAGCACCTCGATCTGGGCCTCCAGCTCCAGGTCCACAGTCCGGGAACCCCGACCGAAACGCTCCGAGATCATTTGCTTTGTACACTGACGCAATGAAGAAGACGCACAGACACATCAGTAACACAAAGCAATTCCTTCCTGTGACTTTAGCCTCCTTCACAAAGACATGGGGAGAAGGGGATTCAAAGGATCCTCAGGCACAGAAACATAAAAATCACCAAGTAGCTCTTTATCTTGAAACTATCATCTGTTCACAGCTTTACTTGTTAGTCAACATTACAGATACCTTGTAAGTGTTGAGACCCCACTTCTTCATTGTTTCTAGTTTTTCCACAGCCACACCTCGGGTCAGCTCTTCTGCCGTCATTGACGAGCTGCTGCTGCTGTGGTGCATGTTGGACCCTGAGAGAGAAGACCCAAACGAGCACAAGAAACATGGTAAACGACAAACACGTTGAGGCGGACATCACGATTTACCCCCCAGCAAAGAACAGACCAAGTAGAGAACCAGCTACTGAAAGTGCATTCACTTTACAGCACAGTTTCTTTTCAGCAGAGTTTGTGCTGCTCTAAACTGAGGGAAATCTGTCTGCTATCTTGCAACCCATGTCGGTCACCACTGACCCGTAAACCACTGTAGAGCATGCATAGGAGTGAAATAGAGTTAATGAGCGAGCAGCAGAAATGAAGGTGGCAAGAAATACTGGGGAAAAAAAACTTAATATTGAAGACGCTAAATTCTTTTCTATTGAGCTGTGATAAGATGAAAACACACTGGACTGCAGGGATATTTTGGGTCACTGCTACACTATTAATCATTGTGGAGCCTTTTGAATGTTCTCCTCTCCAGTACCTTGGTATTCATGTGATTGGCCTGCTATATGGCAGATGACAGAACTGCTCGGGGGAACGCTACTTCGCCTGGCCTTCATACGCAGGTCTGTGACAGTGGATGGGGGGGGGGGGGATGAAGGAATGGTTCAGGGTGAGTATGAATTAGGGAAGGATGTGGGAGTGGGATTTATATAGTTGGGATCAGGATTCAGAATGATAGTTGGATATTTCGGGGTTTAGGAGTGAAGTAATTATTGAGGTTGGACAAGCGTGCCAAAAACGGAATGACAACGTAGGAGGAAGTTTGTCGGGAGGAGCGGGGAGACGCAGGAAAGACAGAAAAGTGAGGCAACAAAAGGGAGACGAGGAGGACGAGGAACATGTAGGAGGGAGTTGTGAAAAGGAAGTGGAGGATAAAGATAGACAAGTACAAAGATGAAAAGACAACATTTAGTGCATGACAGTCAGTGAACAATGCAGACAAATGAGTGATGGTGAAGACGGGGGCAGTTTGAACTGCAGCAGAACTGAATAGTGAGATGTTAAATTAACTGGATCAGCCAGGCTTTTAAGAAACTAAATGTTTACTTAAGTTGTCACGGTAATATCTGACTTTTGACTTTGATATTCAAGGTCTTTATACAAATACACATGAAGGCAGTTTCTGTTTTGCTACACAAGAACAAAAAAGTGTAGACCCGTTAAAGGATGAGTTTACAACCCTAGAAGAAACCAACCAGGAAATAGAGGAGAAGTATGTTAACGAAATGCTGTGACAGAAAAAAAAAGGCTCTCTGTATCAAAGAAAAGTAGCAGCAGCCAGAAATAAGTTTACTTCCCTTCACTCCACTGAAACAGAGAAAATTTCATGAAAAGGGACAGAGAAGCTAATTCTCAGCCATTTGAAAGTCACACTCTGTATAAAGAACGTCTTTCCAAAATGAGAGATTCATCATGTGAGAAATATCCATTAGTCACATTTTGTGTGTTGTAGGTAACAGATGAAGTTCTTGCTTACAGAATCTTAACAACAGTACTTACAAACTGGATATCCTAGATTCTAGAAACATCCAGCATCGCTAAAAATGATTCCATCACATTTTGGAAATAAGCTCTCTATAATTAATAAGAATTTGGTCTGTGGAGCCACCTAATCCTGTAACTGGGATCCTTTTGTTAAACTCTGCATTGTAGTGCACAGCAGGGCCTGAGAGAGAGAGAGAGAGAGAGAGGATGGGACAAAGATGCAGAAATATTAGGATCAAATAAGAAGCAAGATGCTGTTTAATTCCCTCTGAAACTGTGAATACAGCGACACTGCTGAGGTCAGCGCCTTGAACTAGAAACTTACATGAATCCCTCAGCCGCAGACCCGCAGCATCACACCATGTATTGGATCTATTTATGATTCGGTGTGTAATTATTTTTGTAAGTTTTCATCTAAAAAGCAAAATATTAACCGCTTGCGAGCAAGAAGAAACGTTGTGAGGATTAGTAAGATGAAACGGTGTTTGACGTCGGGCATCTATGGAATTCTTGGCACGCTGTGCTTTCGAAACGGTTGCCTGACATTTAGGAACAATGACGTGTTTGATAATGAACTTGTCTTTCAGTGCTGTGAGAAGTTATCAAGGCCGCAATCATTTTTTATCTTTGATTGTGACAAATGCTGAGTGAACTGTAAACACTGCATTCACGAAAGAATGTGTACTTTGCACATATTTGATTGGTCAACACGGCTCCTCGCCCATATCACAATGACTGCGTTTTCTTTTTTTTTTTGCTGGACAAGCCTGTGTTTTCTTGCAGGAGCTCTCTGTGTCATCACCTAGCTACACTGAAAGGGATGGGGAGGGGGGGTTTGTATGTCTAAGCACATTCTTATGCAGTGCAGATTCAGATCATGTTTGGTGATTACTGTCAGTTTTCAAGCAGTTATAGTTGCATTTATAAAAAAAAAAAAAAAAAAAAAATCATCTTTTTGACAGGAAGTTTGGGTTTAAATCTAGTCAACACATCATTATAAGAACACTCAGTTTGTTTTAAAATCAGTGTTCAGTAGTTCATCATTCACTCTACTGTCTCTATCCCACGCCTGGGCATTGAACCATGTAATCTGAGTAATAAGGAGCAGAGAGAGCGGAGGCCCACGCTGGCCATAAATCAGCACAAATTGACCACCAATTACTGCAAATTAATTGCGGCATCATCTAATGGGAAGACTGATCGGAGGTCTGAGAAATCAAACGCTACATGGTCCTCCGAATTACACTCACAGACAGACATCCGTAGTGACAACAGAGGGAGTCAAAAATGGGAGAGAGCGACAGTTCGGCTGAGAAAAAGACACTGGAAAGATGTCATAGATGAGTGAGAGAGACAAAGAGTGAAGTAGGACTCTACCTTTGATTGAGCTGGTGGGGATGATACCCTCTGCTGTTCCTCCATACCCCCCTGATACAATGCTAGTCTCATTTAGATTGGGACCCGATACCATCACCTGCTGTAGGTCCTGCAAAGTTTAAACGGTGAAAAAAACAAACAAAGAAAAAAAAAAAAAAAAGAAAAAAGAAACAGAGGAACAAAGGGAAGGGTTTTTGGGTGGTTTTGGGGGTGGGGATATGTAAACAAGCATTTATGACTTTGAGTGTTACATTCACACAGTGTAGACAATGTAAGTTAAAGGCTTATTCACTAGAGGGGGACAAACACGACTATGTTAGGAAGGTTGGTCAGTACACACATATCTTCAGGCATTGTCTCACTTCAACTACTTATCTAGGAGCCAAGAGGGAAAAACTTTAAGGTGTGTGAACAGCAGAAAACACGCCGCTAAAGTGCACGGTCAATGATTAACCTAACTAAGGATTTAAGCTGAATCTCCTGCCATGATGCTGTTGAGAGAGCAAGCAAAGGAGGTTTAATCACCAGACGTAGAGTCTAACCCGAGCAGCGACTCCAGTGATCTATGCAGCAGGAAATGCTCAAGCAAACTGTTTTCTCCTTCCAAAATAATCACCATCACAGGCTTCAGCGTATCACAAGGGGGTGGGGGTCTAGGGTTGGGAGGGTGGGGGGAGGCTGTGTGTTATGAGCCACATGATCCATCTTGTGTGTTTTCTTTAATTAAAACTCACTGTTTTCTTTTGTCTGCCTTCCTGCTTGTGTATCAGCTAGTAAAGAAAAAACACATCGGTGAGGGATTTATGGAAAAAGGGGGAATATCTGGCCCGAACAGATTTTGTCACTTTGGCAGAAGCCTATGTGAGCCGTAGTTCCTACAAGAAATCAGGTCTAAATTTTACTCATGCCCGTGCCGTGAGCAAGAGACTTATTTTATTTGCTACAAAAACAATTCACAGTAACTCAACTGCGGGCAAAGGCCCATATCGCCCATCGGGAAAATGAAATGGGAGGATAATATATAGGGCACTTCCTGAAACCTTGGGCTTAGACTCTACAGTAAGATTGTGACTACAGAAGAATGCTCCAGAAGGGAGGACGCTATTTCCTTGTTGTAAACAAACAGAACGAGTATGTTTGATTCTGCAAAAACGAAGTAAAAATACAGCTGCTGTGATTTGTTAAAGGTCAAACAGCATTCACTGATGAAGATTCTCTCTGCTTCAGGGCCTTGTCTGCTTGTTGAGATAGACCTAACAGTCACCTGACTTTCTTGCTGTAACACACCTACATTTGTTTAACATCAGCTGACACATGAAAACAGAACTAGTGAAGCTGAAACACATCAACATCACAGCATTAGTACGACATGATGATAATTAGTATGTCACTGTGTTTTGTTTTGTCAACCAACACCCACTAAAAAAAAAAATTAAGGGATCTCTCACACACACACACACACACATCACCCTGGGGAACGAACACACACACAGACACACACACACACACACAGACACACAGACACACAGACACAGAGTTCACACACACACACACACACACACATCACACACACACACACACAACACACACACACACACACACACACACACACACACACACACACACACACACACACACACACACACACACACACACAGAGAATCTAGGCTATGTTAGCTCACTCAAGACAACACGATCTAGATGTTTTTGAATCTAATAATCAAATGGAAACAGATTTTTGTGTTGAGTTTGAAGTGTTAGCTGTCAGCTATGTTTGTCTCTCGAAACATGTCCAGTTTGAGAGACTCCCTCCAGCTGGAGTTAGTAGGAGCCAAATTAACAGGCAGCACGATTCAAGCTGCACAGTGGTTTGCCATATAAATGCAATCTGTGACATTTTGTGAAATAAACCAACGCAGTGATGCGAGGCAATGTAACGCCACATGAAGTCAAACCCCTGAGCAGTGCTACACACCAACATAGAGACACACACATACACACACACACAAATGCACAAATGGCCTGCTCACCCTGGTGCCTCTGGAGCTCCCTACCTGCTCATCTAAGCTCCACTGCAGCTTTGCAGCCTGCACAGAGATGGAGGAGGAAGGGGGTAGGGAGGAGGAGGAGGAGGGGGTGGGGGGTGGGGTCGACAAACACAACAAGAACGACAACAAAAAAAAGTAAAAAAAGAAAATTAAAAAAAAGGAAAAAAAAAAGGAAAGGAGACAAAAAGAAAAATCCATGACTGAAATCATGAAACAAGATAGAACGATGTAAAAAAAGAAATCCCAGAAAAATCATTGTAATGTCCACAGACAGCGGGGATGTGAGATGGAGAGCAGTGATGACTGATATCACAGCAGGTCAGGTCAGGGTTCGTCACTTAGCTGGTATATGTCAAAGTTTCAAAGTGGATTGTTCATCCACTGGGTGAACATGTTTCACTTGGTGTTTCCATGTATAATCTGTTACAGCCATGATATGATTCCATCACTGTCTGGACACAGAAAATACTGATTCTAATTCAGCACTGTGAAAATGAATATATTCATTTACAAGACATTTACAAGACATTAAAAGTCACATCAATGTTAAGGAGGGAAAAAAATAAAAATAAAAATCAAGAAAGAAGAAACTGTGGACACATGAAAACATCCACACCAACACCAAGTTTGAGTGGCCAAACTCCAGGTACCATTTTACCAATTTAAACTGGGTCATGTCTGGAGCAGCCAACTGGCTCTCATCATGACAACGGTGCCAATTTCTGGAGCCTAAAATGATAGTTTTCAACATTTTAACTACACGGACACTGAACCAACAACCAAAAAGCATGTTAAGAAAAGGACAAAACCTTCATTCATTAGAGATCTGCCTCATGCTGTGGCATCTGTTCAGTGTGGGAGAACAGTGACGCAGACACTGATCCCTCCCTGGACACTTTGTTGACACAGTGCCTGTTCCCTAAGATGTAGGAAACTACAGAACCTTTATGTCATCACACAATAACTCCGACTGTCATACAACAGCGCAGTTTGTAGGCTTGTAAATTGTCTCGCCTGTTTCTGTACAGATGTCATACCAAAGACAGAATGCTATAACATGATAGACACACAGAGTCTGCTTTAAAAAGGCCACAAACCACTATTCTTTCACCTACGAGAAATTGTGTACAACAGTATAAACAGTGTAAGATGCTGTTGAATTTCTGACTTCCCACCAGTGATCCACTGTGATGCCTCTCATGCTTTTGCCAGGACACTGCTGGCAGTCAGTCCTATCTGTCACTGTCAAGCTGCCAGTCACCAACCATGTTCCGACACGAGCTCGGTGCTCCATCATCTGAAACCGGACATCTGCTCTTTCCTAACCTGCCAATCTTCATCTCCACGTGTACGAGCAACACAAACTGCTGCCGCTTCAAACCCAGTAGATATCAATCTGATTTCAGAGGGCTTTCACCCAAGGACAAAGCACAGCCAGTTTCACAGCCAGATTAATTGCAGGGTTGCTATGACAACTGGTTAATATCCAGCACTAAACGGCCAAGCTAAACACATAGATGAACACATTAAACTGAAGTAGCCCCAACAAACGGGTGAATACTCGCTCCGCTGTGCACACTTGGTGAGAGGGTAGGGCTTCCTTTTACTACACGACTGGAGCCACACTTAGTTTGGTGAGCAAATAACTCAAATAACCACCAGTGCTTCCACCAGGATCTTCAGTCTGTTTGTCTAACAAGGTGTGCCCTGGGATGCAGGAAAATGAACGTCACTTACTCTGCAACTCCAGTTATTCCTTTCTAACCGACTCTGACTAAGAACCTCCTGAAAAGGGTGGAGACAAAATGTTTGTGCTTAACCCCCTCCACAGGAGCATTCGCCTTCAATTGAGGCCCGACAAGTGCTTATTCCTTCTGTAAATAAACAGTTCCCGCCTGGAGAGCTACGACTACATCTACAGAGTCTAGCATTTCAGTTTCACACCTTGTGTTCAGATTAACCAAATACACCAGAGATGTATCTGCAGCCCCGAACAGGAGGCCACGTGAGCCGTTAATGGGGGAAGCTGGTTCCCAAGGAGACATCTGGACTCCAACACCTGATTTCCCAGTAGGATCCCTTTCCACGGTTGTAGCTAAGCAAGCTAAGGAACACAAGGACATCTAGCAGTGAATGACAGGCAGGACTTAATACGATAACGGCTAAAACCAGGCAAAGAGCAAGATTTAATTTCACAGCAGGAGACTGGAATACAGCTTCAGCGTGATCATTCTCCGCAGCTGAACACAGGTGCATTAAGGCAATGTGAGAGAATAATAGTAAGTGAGTGGCCACATTCATGCAGCTGTAGAACTGTATTTACTAGGAACAATGAGTCCTAAATTGTACTGTATATTTTTACTGACAGAATTGTAATGTGGTGTGATGGTATGAAAAGAGTCAGCTCACTTAGCTAATCTTGTGATAGCTGAGGAACAATACCCATCACCACTGTGTCAACGTCAAACAAACGAGAGGCACGCCTTTATCCGTCACACACTGTGATCAACCAGCACTAATGCCACGTAATGACATCAGCTGGCTGACTTATGTTGGTTTGACTCTCCTCATGTGCTCTCATGTGAATGATACAGTATGACCTTCGGGGATAGTACTGTATCACTGGTTACATCATCAAGAGAAGGCTATTGTTAGACTTTTCTGAGGAGAATATTTTAAAGTAGAGGCAAATAAAAAAAATATCTGGGTGTCTGATCAAAGACTTCACAATGAATCTTACACTAAAACTGACATGAGACAGACCCTTAAAAATAAAATATACTTAACAGTTTAAAAAAAAAACAACTAAATATAACTATAAATTAATATATAAAAAGTAATTCAGACTGAAAAATCATCAAGATTATTGAGAAGTAAACAACTGTATTCTCTGTACTCTCATCTGTTTGCTGGCGAGTATGTAAATGATCTCTTGTTGCCCTGGGATCACATGTGTAAAGACAAACAGTGTGCATATTTGTTCCCTTGTGTAAGTGCTTTAAATAGGTAAATAACAACTAACCAGGGTGGTCTCAAAATGCTACACACACAGCACACTGTCAACTGATACATTAGCCAGGACCCACCTGTTCAAGGCTGTCGTCCTCTGGTAGTGTCCCTGTGTCGCCATTACTGTTGATAGGAATCTCCATTGTGGCAGCTTTGCTCATAATGCTGTCTGTCATAATGCACTATTTCTGAGAGAAAAGGGGGAGAAAGAGAGACAGGTAAAGTGTGGATACAACGAGCTACTGTATGTAAATGAAGTGAAAAAGGCAGACATGGAAAAACAGTGAGGCCTGAATGCTGCTTTGAAGAGGAGAGACCAAAGAGCGTAGTCAAAACACCCAAATCATTAGGCAGATGGGAATATAATTGCAACAAACAAGCGAGGAGGTGGTTTTCAAAGAGCAAGGCTACCGCTCGGCATAAAAAACAAACACACCTATGAAAGCCCCATGCACCGGGAGCCGCCGCTACAATGAGCCATCTTGCTGAAGTGGCCACTCTACCCCACTCAATTAAAGGGCCGTATGCTAGCAGCACCCATTCCCTAAAAAACCCCTAACTAGAGAGGAGACAGCGAAATGTTCACAGCAACATTGTCCAGTCGCTCTAATAGGTCAAACTGATCTGGCGTGCTATACAGGGTCACAGTTAATAACAGTTGCCAAAATGCAGGTCAAGTAGTACTATAGCTCCTGTTTTTTGACTTGGACTGTAATAATGAATTCACAGCTTGATGAATTCACTCCAACAAAAACCAATAAAGGGTCAGTGTGTACTGTATTGTTGGGAATCGTTGGGTCTCAGTAATCAATATTATAAAGAGTACGGTGTAGACCTGCTCTATTCAATAAGTTCGTGCTGTTGAGATTTGGCACTTTATAAAAAAAGATAGACTTGACTTGACTACTGCATGCGTGACAAGGCCACAGATGATGGTGCAGAATTAAGGTCTACAAATGTGGGAGATGGTTATCATGGCAGAGCACGGTAGTGGTATAACAGGTAAACGTCACATCTGGAGAAACTCCAGCATGAACAGTGGTGTCTCCACAACTGGTGTTTCTTAACCAGTTTGTTCCCTGATCTGTTGTAGACCGTGTGAGCTTAATATGATTAATTGTGGGAAACAAAATGGGGACGTCTGGTAGATAACACAAATTCATGAATTAGTGACACAAAATAATTCACTAATTACTATTCATTTATAAACAGAAGTATCACATTGTAATTACAAATATTCCGTTTTTGATTGATAATTAAATGCTGATAACAGATCTCCATGAAACATAACTACTGTATATTATCCTTCTAATCTTGTTTGATGTGCAATCTCAAATGTCCTTGAAATACTTTATAGCTCATTAAGGCCGTTGTGCAAAGCAGGATATAAGGGATATACCATATATGCCGCATACCTGAATAATGAGTCTAAAGTGGGACAAAAATATGATTTTTTTTTTTTTTTTTTTTTTTCAAAACACCTTGGAGTCCTTGTAAATTTGCAACCACAGGACTCACAGCATCTTGAACACAACAATATGGCAGGTTTATGGCAGTTAGTTCACTCGCTGGCACGAATATCTGTTGCATGAAGGGAGGCATGAGTAAGACTTGTTTACATTTGCTCTGTCCTCGCCTGAGTGGCTTTATCCATTAGAAATGCACACTTTGCCATGCCCAGTCCACTTCCAGAGGAATGACACATCCCTGTTGACTGTAACACATCAGAGGAGAGAGGAGCTTCTCTTGCCCAAGAATGCTCGACACTTGTCCATGTTAACCCAAACTGACTTAACACATAGTGCCACACACTGGAAAGAGAAGTCCTCTTATTGATCTGACATTCTACATTTCCAACATGAGATACTAAAGGTCTTCATTGACTGAGCAAACAAATCTGCTATTTTGCATAACATCTACATCTGAAATGGGCCTCGATCTGGCTGCAGTATTTATGCAAGTGCTTCGATTCACTACAGCATGTTGTGTCTCTCGGTCAAGTCTCTTAATCAATGGGAAATGGCATAAGGCTAAGATCGGACATTAACTTTAATAGTAGTTATTGGCAGTCTATCATTAGTAATAGGCAGCATCCGAAATAACTCGAAATAGCCATTTAGCCGCATAAAATGTGCCACATCAAGGGCAATGCGCGTTATTATTTAGTAGTAGTATTGTTATTAATATAATGTGAGTCGTTTAAACCAATCGTTTCAATTCAAATCAAGTGCACAATTTAAAAAATACTAATAAATGACTAATAGTTAGCTTCAGACGTAAAGAGAGGGGAAAAGGCTAAAGGTTTACACATCTCCTGATACCGTGCAGAATACGTCTGGGAGCCCGAACAGGTGCAGCAGCACAGGTGTACGGTTATTCCCCTAACAGCAGGTAACGTTAGCTTTGGCCTCCGGTGGGTCCAATCTGTCCAACACGGTGATGGTTTGTAGAGGCCATTAAAAAAAAGAACCCATCATAATGGCTTTTTCGTAAGAATGTGCATTGCATTGAAGCATCTTTTCAGGCTGGAAATTAATTTGCTCCCAAGAAAAAATAAAAGGCCTGATTCCAGATTCAAACATACAGCTGTTCAGATGAAGCTGCTTAAAAATGGTAAACAAGTGAGTTCACAGTGCAAAGCCGGTTATTTAACGGTGACAGAAATCTGAAACAATCTCACACCCAGACAAAAAGCAATATCGTCGTTTACAAACGGTTTGGACTTACGGTGTGCTTGGTCCCGTCGTTAACACGGAGATGTTCGGGAAGCTAACGAGCAAGCTAAGAAGCTAACGTCAGTGCATCCCAGTTCATGCGCGGCTTAGAGGAGACTGATGTGTGTTTTGTCAGCCCGAGGGAAAAAAAAAAAACTGCCCGTGGGAAACAATGCAGCGCTCTTGTTTAAAAGTACTTAAATGACATAACAAGGTAAAGTCTTGTTCGCACTGCTTTTGTCTTTGGACTCCTCGTAAATAATCCTCTGCCTTCTTTTCTATGAAGCCAAGAGGAACGCTTTACGGAACTGACGACACCGTGGGATTCTTTTCTCAGACGCACTCCGACGCAAAGACCGTCTATTGACGAGAAGATGGATCACTCACTTTACAAATGTAAAAACAGCCATGCCGATACCTGTGCTAACTTTCACCATTGTCAAGCAGATTTGAAGTTATTTTATATATTTATAAATGTATTTTTATTACTATATAAGTAATAAACGATCTGGCACAACTCTTCCAACAATATTTTTTAAAGGCTTATTTAACTAACTCTTCACAAAACTAATATTGAAAAGGAGACACCAAAATGTTTACATTAACGTTGTGTAGTCATTGTAACAGGTCAAACTGATTGGGCCTGCTACTCAAGTTGTACAACCACATATGCATACTAACATTTGCAAAAACAAACAAACAAACAAACAAACAATTAAAAGCTGTGCAAGTAGTAAGCTAATTAGGCTCCATTTTTTTGGCTTGGACTGGAATAATGTATTCACTCCCACAAACACTAATGAGAGGTCAGTGTGTACTTTACGTATGCATTTGTGTGTGTGTGTGTGTGTGTGTGTGTGTGTGTGTGTGTGTGTGTGTCACCAAGGCCTCAGAGGATGGTGCAAAATGAAAGCCAATTACTTTATAGCTCATTAGGGCCATTGTGTAAAGCAGGATGCAGAGGATATGATATAATTACAGTACATTCTGGATGTTTGCCTTTTTGTGATTTATGTGATGAGGGATAATTGAAGAGGCACCATCCATAAAAACTCACAGTGCAACATATAATTAACTAGCTACTAATACATCCTAATGGTTTCAAAGAATCCACTGAAGCATTCAATTTCCTTACATCTTTGTGATGAATTAAATATGTAAATTCTACCTTCCGTAATTTCAAACTAATCATCGTTTGACACTTTTAACAAAATATATAAACTGCAGACTTTGAGCACATTTCCTCATCACACTTTAGAATTGTACCTTGAAATTGGAGCGGAGTGAGAGGTCTTCATTTTTCCTTTATCCGGCTACAACCCGTCTTTGGAAGTATCGGGGGCATCTTGCAGGTGATATGTGCAGGTTTCTGCTGATGGTTGTACATTAACTCAGGTATGTATGAGTTGTAACTGTTCCTTTCATTGTGCCCCAAGACATGTTAGTACTTCTGACCTCTGTGAATCCAAGGGGCAGATTCATAGACTTTGCATAAAGACACAGGCACAATTCCAAGGAGAACCAAGTTTACAAAAAATATAAGTTCAGATGGAAGGCAAAAGTTAGTAACTTTGGTAACACTTGGGCTGCAATTTAAGGCTGCTTTTATTTCTGTTCAAAGTCAGATTACCACAGGCACAGCACAGCTAGAAATTAGTGCTCGTTTATTGAAGAAACTGCTTCAGGAGAACTTCGCTTCTCATCATGTCAGGCTTCATTTTATGTGTGTCTTAAGGGGAGATATCTTTTCTTAATGAAAGAGGAAAAAAATGTTTGATGAAAAATAAAACTTTATTTTTTTAAGATCATCACTGTCAATACTTTCTTTACATGTGTCTGTCACCAAGAGACTGTAGGTAGATTACAGCATTTATATAATTCAAAATGCAACAAGAACAAAAGAATTACGACTGCGGTCTAAACAACAGATTTTTTTTTATTGGGTTTCAATTCAATTACAGTTTGGTTACATGGATTATTACTTATGTATTGCTACTTAATATTACTTGTACAATGGCCACTTAAATTAATTGCAGTATTAAACTGTTGGTAAAGACAACAACAGCTGAGCCTAAACTAAAACGTTTGGAACTCTAGTTCCAAGCGTTTTAGTTTAAGACAAGATCAAGCTGCAAAGGATTTTTTCCCATTACTGTTGGTTGTTATACCAGCAGTAATGGGAAAAAATCTTACAATAGTGGGAAAAAAGAGTAAATATTTTCTTAGCGAGAACCATGCAAATGATAGATTTTCGTTGCAATATGGAAAGCGAGGTCAAAACCAGTTGTATCTGACTGGTATCTTTAGCTTGCTTATACAGTATACAGCATTTTGTAGGCAAGCGACCGGGGGAAAAAGTGAGATAGTGTCCGAACATAATGGCTGATTGGGTTCCACGGGTCTATATCAGCAGCAGGTCCTGACCCAGCCCAAGCTCTCTAAGAAGACGAGGAAAAACTCCCCAAAATCCTGAGGCTAGAGGGAAGATGGGAAGAAACCTCGGGAGAGGCAATTCAAAGAGAGATCCCCTCTCCACGGACAGCTGGGGGTGCTACAGGAACTGCAAGTGGGAGAAATGTTATGTAAGAAGTCTGATACAGTCCAATTAATGTCCAATTAAAGTCCAATTAAAGTCCAAGGAAATCTTTGCATCATCCTTGCTGTGAAAGAGAGAAAGGCATTAGTAAGTATCCATTAATGATCCATAAGATTGGCCCTTACCTGTTGTATGGTGTGTATGGTCTGAATAATTTGAAGTGTGTGTGTGTGTGTGTGTGTGTGTGTGTGGTTTATCTGAGCCAGGGGTGAAGCTGGAGCTGCTCCAGGGTCGGGCGACGTGCTGGGACTTTGGTCAAACACATTTTCAAGAAATCCTGGCAATCTGGAGAGAAAGATGCAGGGTTAGGGTTAGATGATGAAGGTGACGGCTCCAGTCATCCATCAGAGTGAACGGATGTGTGTCTGCTGACAGGTTTGTGTCTGAGTGTGTTTTTCTTACTCTCGGACAGTCGTTTGTTGATTTTCAGCTTCTTTGTCAGGAACTTTCTGGTCTCGAAACGTTCTCGTCTGTGGAACATTTCGAACAGGACCACTCCTACTTGCCACACCGTGGTGGGGCTGGCGCTGTAGGTAAAATGACTGTAATACTCTGGAGGGATGTGATCACAGGTACCTAGAAGACACACACATACAATAATAAGAGGATGAGTAGGAGGAGAAGCTTTGATTAAATGTTACAGACCAGTGAATTATTGAGGAGCAGTAGTAGAAGCCAGACATCTTACCATAGAAATCTTGAAAAACTGATCTTTTCTTGAAGAAACAGCTGAGTCCAAAGTCGATGAGGCGAACACGCGGGACGTCTGAGCCCGTCTCAATAAGGATGTTTTCAAGTTTGATGTCCCGGTGAAAGATGCGCTGATTCTCGAGTTCGGTTGCTGCTTGAAGTAGCTGTTTCAGTATGATCTGAGAGAGAGACAGACGAAGAGACATGGTGACTCTGTGTTAGCTGTTGTGATTCAAAGCTGACCACAACTGCCGTCCTACACATAAGATCCTCCAGTAGCTTACCTTGGCCTCCTCCTCCTGAATAGTGCCTCGTTTGACCTCCAGGTACGTGAAGAGGTCCTCGCAGGGGACTGGTCTTTCCAGCACCAGGATGAGCTTCTGGCCCAGGTCATACCAGTCCAGTAGAGACACAGACGCTGACGTCCCCACTGATCCAGGCGTTTCAGCAGAGAGCTTCAACATGACAGCCACCTCCACAGACAGCTCGTTCCCATTCTGGTCCTGAAACATAACGACAGGATAGAGGATGAGGGAGAGGTGCTCCATAGATGACTATAATTCATTCCCACTACATTCAGTTAGTGAGGGTGTTGATGAATGCGGCACATTTCAACAACAGTCGGTGTTGTTTACTCACCGTTTCCTTACAAAACACCTTGTTCTTTGGTATGTGTTTGATAGCCACCTACAAGACACAAACAACACTTTGATTAGCACATTATGACCATATGGTGTGTGTTTGTGTGTTTGTGTGTACATGAGAATGTGTGTGTATCACTTACTGGTAAATGATCTGCTTTGCGGTAGCCAGCAAACACAGACCCACACCCTCCTTCACCGAGCTGTTTCTGCTGTTTGTATTTGGCCTTAAATTGAGCTAAACACAAACACACATATTTTGTTTTAATACAATTGTGAGGAACATTAATTATTCAAGCTCAAATATTAATCCCTCCTATGTTACAACTGATGTAAATCCTCGTTTTAAACCCCACCTTAACACAAAGTCAAACTCTACATTAATGACTTCCTACTTACCTCTCTGGGCGTCTGCTGACAACTCCTCCTCCTCCTCCTCCGCCTTCTTCTGGGTCTCCTTTGGGTCCGTTCTCCTCTTCCTCTTCCTCCTCGGTCCTTCTCCTTCAGTGGGGGCCTTTCTCTTAACACTTCTCTTGCTCACATATCCCACAAATGTACTGCAGCCTTCTAAAGGGTCGCTGTTCTCTGCAGAAGAGAAAAACACCCAGAGGAACATCAGCTTGTTTCGTGACAGTAATGTGGACAATAAAATCCTCATAAGCACCTCACAACCTAAATGACATAAGAAACTGTGACTCAGTGCCTTTCAAAATGACACTAGTCTTTTCTGATCTGCCACCTCTATGGATTAATCTAAGTTCAAAGAATGGCTGCTCATTTCAGTTTCTATATTGGAGCTACTTTCTACCAAAGAAAAAGTTTTTCTTACAAAAATCTCAAAGACAAATATCCCAAAATCTGGACAGAAAAAAATCAAAAATGATCCTCACAAATAATTAACACTAGTTGATGGACTTTTTTGTGCTTTCTGTATTAATGTATCCACTAAATATAAACCTCATGTAAACTGTAAACTGACAATACACATGATCAGGTTAGGTTTACCAGTGTCCACTGAGGTGGAGGCCGAGTCCTCGTTGTTTTTGAGAAGGTAGAATACTGGCATCTTCTTCTTCTTCTGCTGCTGCTTTGATGGCCCCTCTCCATCGTCCATTACTTTCCTCTTCCCTCTCCTCACAATGCCATCCTCTTTATTGCTGCCACAGGGTTCAGCCATCTCAGAGGCCCTTCTCCTTTTTCTTTGGGTCTTCTTTTCAGGACTGGCCTTCCTCTTAGGTCTCTGAGTCCTGCTATCCATTGCAGGTGATGCATTTTGTTGAGTGCTGCTGCTGCTGCTGCTGCTCTCTGTAAATGAGGAAAAATACAGTGAAACAGTGAAAAATCAATTTGTTGTGAATTGTAGAGGCTAACTGTTTGAAATTGTCTTTTTTTAAAATAACCTTTCAGCATGAGAAAAAGGGCTCAACAACAGTCATTTCTCACTTACCTTTATCTCTCCTGAGAGCCTGAAAACGGCGATTCTTGATCTTCCTTCCAGGTGCTTTATCCATGAAGATTCTCCAGAAGTTTCGAATGCGATAACTTCACTAACAATATAACTAACTTCACTAACTTCACTAACACGACGATTGAACGTAGATCCAACAGTTGTATGCTGAAATGTGTCTCCGCGTGTTCTTTAGGTGTGACGTATAGAACACGGAATGTGCTCCTGTCAGTGACGTCACACAGAGGTGTTCTGGAATATGCAAATGAACGTTTGAAAATAAATTGTGCATGTGAGACGTGTAAAAGTGTTTGTTTCAGTGAAAATCATTAAGTCACATCTCAAATGAGTCAAACGATATAAGAATACTGTGCAGTTGTTGATATCGGCTGTTTCTCAGTCACATGGCCGACCTTCCCACCTATTAAAAAGCTTATACAACTCTGTCTCCCACAGGTTATGTTTATTTACAACTAATTTGCAATGAGAAATATTTTTTGAAGGAAAAATACCTGTGACCACATGCATTAAGGTTTCTATTCATGTATGTTGTCTCATATATATAATGTATATATCCCATGTATTATCCCTGGCTGGATTATGTTCAGAGGCCATGTTTCTTTTTGTATTTTAGATATTATTATCTAACTTTATCTAGACGTCACTTTAGTGAGGCTTTGATGAAACAAGGGCGAACTCGAGACTCCCATATGTATTGTATTCACTCATAAAATCTGTTTTCTGTTGTTTCTTCTCCCTGCTCCTTAACTGCACATCTCCTCTCTGTTGCGTACTGGTCATCTCCATCACTTGCGCTGTAATCTTCCTATTCCTGTTTTTGAACAACATAGTTACAGTGCTGCCCTCTGTGGGTAAGTGTTTTAGTCTGGGGTGATCCTCGGGTGACTAATGTTTTTTTCCCTCAGTGAATCCAGCATCTTCATAACGATCCTGTGTGATCTTAATTACTGTTTTCACTGCTGCCCCGCCACACACTGAAACAGACGGACTCACTGAGAATTTAATATTATTTTTTAATGAAAAAAAAAAAATTGATGTCTTTTACATTTTAGTTCATATGCAAAGTAAATTCAGGTTATTTTATTTTCATTTCAACCACAAGATCCGGCTGTCACAAGCAAATTTTAAAATGAAAAGATTGTTTGAATAAAAGGAAAGCCACACACACACACACACACCTACCTCTGAGCCAATCACAATATGGATCTCATGCCAAATAGTTCATTATAAATGGTTTCACATGAGTTGAGGGTTTAAACCAATAATCACAGATATTTAGCTGATGTTGTGAACATTTTGGATGATACAGTTCAAACCAAAGCGAATCAACTCCCTCGCATCCAGCTGGGCATCATCACTTAGGATTCAGCCTCCATGTGACAGTAAATGTTTGAACATAACACTGGGCACATACAGCATGTGCCTGTCACAATCAAATATGGAAGCTGTGAATGAACCACTGCCTATGAACAATGTTAACAGTGCTGGATGCTATCCTGCAAACACTTGACAGGCTGGGGAGTTTTTCTAACAGCTTCTGCAGTCAATCAGAGTCCGAGGACGGAGGTGGAAAGTGAAAGCCAGGGAAAGAGTGAACGTTTTATTAATGAATGGATGGGAAACTGAAAGAACTGTGCAGCCAAGAGAAACTCATGGTCTATTTTTTGGGAATGGGTGTGAAATTCCATATGGGAACATTTTACCAATGGAAGTGTGCATGAACACAGAACGAGTTTCCCAGCTGTCGGCGTGTTGTTTGATGCCAGTCTGAGTCACTAACCTGCTGCAGTGAACATGGCACAGTGTTTTGTGCAATTTCTTCTTTTTCTTCTTCTTCTTCTTCTTCTCCTCTGTCCTAAATAACTGAAACACAAAACAAAAAAATGTTTTACAGCTTGCGGACATGCGAACAGTATAATCGCATGTAACATAATTCGCCACAGCTGCTGCTACTGCAGATGTGTGTGTACAGTGCTGTCATTCCAAATTATAACCTACAGCCGTAACACTCCTGCTCCAGATCGGCCAGTTACCATCAATTTCTTCAAATTATGATAATGATTTACTTTTATTGTGTGAAAATGAATCTTGACTTACTGGATTGAGTGTATTCATTGACTCTTCTCCTGGTTATGTTACAGTTACAGTTCCATCCATGTGTGTTACACATGAGAGGAGAGAAGAGAGGTGAGCAAGTATGAAAAAAATGGATTTTAAAGGTCCCTTATTGTATAAACGTAGATGTCCATGTTTTCTTTGATTATAAAGCAGGTCTGGGTTCTGTATTATTACTGTGAGTAGTATCAAAGCGCTCAGTCCACAGAGAAATGCACACAGCTTGTATTCAGAAACTGAACCTTAAACGAGCCGTCAGGACTTCCCTAACTTTGTGATGTCACACCAGAGCAGTCACTGCCCTCAGCCATGCCCCAAGCCGCGCCCATATTTTTATTTGATCACTCAGAAAATAATCCAGAGCTCCAGAGAGGAGATGTAAAACTACATTGAGATGATTTTTGGTTCTTAAAACCACAAATATATCTTCTTATGGATCAACACTTCAAATAAAACAAAGGAAAAGTGTAAAATATGGGACCTTTAATATTCAAACAATAATTTTTAAAAGTAACAGCCAAACAATATCCTCCCTCTACACTCATGCTATGAGGGAGACCCAATGAAATTAAATATAAATTACCATATTACATATATATGATGAAAAAGTTAATATTTATCTCAAAATACAGAGAATGCAGAATGAAGAAACCTATTTTTTCTGTAACAGCTGGGATTCTTCTCTCCAACAGGATGCTAAGAGTAAAAAAAGAGATACTATGAAAACAGCTGCATTTTTTTATCAAGTTATCAAAACATGTCCTGTAGAGATGAGTTGCTTCCACAGAAACTTAAGTTTAAAATGATTCCTTTTACCAGAAACTACCACCACACAAATCAAGGAACATAATTCATACTCTCCGTTTTATTCTCTGTGCTCAGCCTTTTGTTTTTATGGACATGTGCAGGAATTTTATTGCATATTCATGCGGAACAAACACATCAATTAAATTCTAACTTGTTTTGAAAATCACTGGCAGTTGTGTCCATTTCTCACAAACATTATACAAATTAACACTTGAGGGAAAACATCAGGGATTAGCATGAACACATAGTATTTGTAACGAATCACACTCCCTCACATAACCAAGTCTGTGTGTGACCACTCGTTGCTCCTGTGGAAAGTGCAGAGTTAGCAGTGTGCAGCACAGAGGAGGCAAGAACTACATATTTTTCTGTTAAATGTCATGGTTGTAGAAAGTGACGGAGAAAGTTTTTGATCTTCTAAGTTAGTCAGCAACCGCATGAGGCGTGAGTTTGGCCGCGGAAGGACCAGTTACTGGAACTAGAGGATGTTATTCCTTACTCAGTCATTAGTGAGCAGACTCACCTGTTGACTCATGTAGAGACCCACACACATGTAGGGAAAAGTCTCATGCAAATACATTCATCACCGGCGCCGACACTGTCTCCACTCATCCTGAACATAAATTATAAATCAATGCATTTCAGATTTTTAACTTTTGCAACCTATCAGACGTGCAGCACACATTTAGTTCTCCCATCACAATCACTAAATGCTTTAATACAAAGCATTTTTGGTCCGTTCTATACCTGATACGCCCTCATGATGGCACCAAATCCCAAACTTAAAACACAGATGACTACAAATCATGTCTACAAAGAGCAGACATCATATTAAGTTTCTGCAGACTAACATCTCATCACCCGAGAGACAACTCGCTTCAAAAGCTGATGATGCTTTTCACATATCATCCGTGTAAGGGAAAAAGATGAAGCAACATCATGATGACTACAGCAGCTTTTATGATCATTTCCATGATCTACTGGATGACTAACAACCCCTTCAGAGCCACTTGAAATCATCTGCTGACTTCACATGTGGGCTTCGCACTCAGCTCATTGTAAACATGACAATTAATGAACATGCCAATCGCCAGCAGGCCCTGAGTACATGACACTGGTGTATATTCTCCAGGAGACCACACCAGCCTTCATTTGCTTTTGTTCATCAGCTAATCAGAAACGCCACTAATAGACTGATCTTCTCTTTGAAGTGTTTACATTGTAGAGAGACACCCCACCCTCTTTTCAAACAAAGAGCGGCCGACCTCACAGTGCTTGTTTAACACTGACGCTGTGTGTACTCCACCGAGATACTCGATTCATGCGGACGAATTCCACAGCACGCACGCAAACACACTTTCCTCATATGTATTTTAAAGTCATATCAGTGTTTAAATATTTTTTGACTGACCATGAAGCCACTGAGTGCAGCGAGGGGGTTCCAGTCCTCGACAGCGAACCAAAAAATTTCCAAAAAAGTCATTCTCATCTGTTCTGCATCAGGAGCAGCAAAAACATCGGCCCCTGCCCTGAGGTGTGCGGGGCCCTCTGTAGCTGTGAGCGAGCCATTCAGGAGTCACCATAGGTAAATATTACAGGTCATTGCCATTCAGGGTTTTTCTTTCTCCTTGAAGGGTGTCGTGCTGCTGTTTTTGCAAAGCGTGTGCGTTGGTGTGTTATAATATTAGCACAGGAGCTCTCTGAGTCCAGTGGTGTAAATCCTTTCCCTCCGTTTCCTTTAATAAGTGACAGCGTTTTTATTCCAACACTAACAGTAACAAAGTCAACATTTCCAGAAGAACTACTTTCCATATTTTGCTAATTTCCATATGTGGATAATCTTTGATAAATGTGCTTTAACCATAATT